GAGCCCTTCACTTGTTGTCGTGGTTTAGAATCCAGCCGAAGCCGCCGGGGCTTTCATAACTGGGTCACACGAATACCAAACTTGTGGTTTTTGGTCTAACTTAGGCCGGGCTTTTAACTAATGACGTTTTCCAGGACCCATATATAACGTGCCTTTGTGTCTCCGTCTACCAATCACTTGCCAAACCTGTGACGTCACCACCGAGAAAAAAACTTCCTTACTCTTTAGCAGGTTTTAATTAGTATTTCAGCCAGCTATCGGTCGACCAAACTGGCTGACTGTCACAGAAGAAAACTTAAGGGCAGTGCCGCTAGTTCTATCGAACCCGATAATACTACTCGAAGCCACAATCTGATCTATATATAAATGTAAGCTTGACTCTCTTTCATGCTAGGCGTATAATCCAAGATGAGTTTCAGGACCCGCTAAGGTCTCCAGATGGCCGCATAATCCTGTTAATTATTTTCGTTGATTCATGACAAGGACGGCGTTAACCTGGCATCGAAGAAAACCTTGCGCTTTCATTCCCGATTACAGGAGGAAGCTTGTTTATCATTTGAAGGTATGGTTCAAATCGGATAAAACTATTTTAATCAAATGCTACCTACGACTTGTAACCTGAGCTTCAATATTTTCTAGGAAACATGAGTTCCCCCTACACTTCTTGGTTTCGTTCTTGTACTAGTATCAGTTACTGCGAGACACGGCAAGCCCTCAACGATCCCCCTCCCCTAAATATGTTTTCGAATTTCTGCTTAGCATTTTTTTACAATACCCACAAATCTGATCTATGAAATGCGAGCCCTGAAAAAGGAATTAGCCCAGGGTAGTATGTGAAAACGCGCACCACAGATAAGTTACAAATGCAAACCGATGCTTTAACATAAAGATAGGTTTAGGTTACGATGTTTGCAAAGCGAACCAGTGTGAACAGAAATGTAACAGTGTCCAGTTAGAGCAAAATCCTCTTTTCCATTTTGTGTGGACAGAGAAAAGTGTTGTCCTCAACTAAGTTATATAACAAACTATCCTAGTATAGAAGCTCATGTGGACCAGAGAAGGGCATGTGTCGTAGACAATATTGCCGGCAAAGACAAGGGAGACCGAAATGGCCAGTTCTGGCTTATTAGCGTCGTCATCCAGTCATACTCAGACCCAAGTAGTGCTCCACTCGAGCCTCGAACTCGCGATCTTTCGATCAGCGTTTAACGTCCTAAACACTGAGCCAGGAGTTCATTGGCTCTGGGTATGACTGGTTGACGACGGCTAAAAAGCCAGAAATTACTATTTCATTCTCCCTTGTCTTTGCTGGTAATATAATCGGCCTAAGTTACTAGCTGCTATAGCTGCTGTCTGAGCCCGAGAAATGAAGCCGAAGGCAAAAGCGTAACGGTTAAGTAAGTTCCGTTGGCGGTCGCTGAACGTGTAGTGGCCCCTAGCAGCCCC